ATTAAAAACTTATAATTCTAATGGTTTTGATAAATATCCTAGTCACACTAGTACGATGTTTACAATTGAATTTAATATAACATTATTTTCTTATATAATTTATTTGTATGATTGCAATTTAAACTTAAAATCATTTAATGTTTTTTAAATTACTAATTAAACTATAAATTCGACAAATTATAATAACGAATATTTTCCATATAAATCAGGGTTCTCGACAAATTAATCGACTTATGATATCATAGAGTCAATTATCCTCGTTTAATCAATACACGTAATAATACTGCATATATAGTATAATTAATTAAACAAAAAGGGTTTATTAATTAAAAAATTTTTCACGAATTTTTAATTGACCATACTAATTGAAAACCGAGAAATACGAAATGAGGACAGGGTTCTATGATAATTTATCTCAAGACTTCTCCCAACTTCTTGAAGATGCAGATGACTATAACGTTAACATCAAAGTTGGGAAAAATACCAAAACTCAAGAATTTCGTGCACATTCTGTAATCTTAAGAGCACGTTCACCTTATTTTAAAAGGGCACTCTCCGAATCATGGGTTACCATTAAAGATGGGATTATTTTATTTAATAAGCCGAATGTTTCCCCTATCGTTTTTACATTAGTTCTTAAGTAATCTACAATTAATTGATTTTATTATTCTATATATCAAATGTTCAAAGTATACTAATATTAATTAATAACTAGGTATATCTACTCCGGAATTCTCGATTTAAGTAAAGTTTCTAACGTCGACGTTCTCAACCTCCTGGTTGCATCGGATGAATTACTCCTTGGGGAATTAAGTGATCATATTCAAAGTTATCTTATCGAACAGGAAGCTTCATGGCTTCAAAGCAATCTCATTATAATCTTACACACCGTATTTCCACTTTTCAATTCCGGAGAACTAGTAAATCATTGCATAGAATATATTTGTAAAACACCCGTACCTTTCTTTACTTCTAAGGATTTTTTATCTCTTAATGAGGATATTCTTTTTGAATTGATTAAACGTGAGGAATTAACGCTTGAAGAAACAGATATCTGGGAATGTCTCATTAAATGGGGAATTCATCAAACACCAGGAATCAAAAGGATGAAACCTTCAGATGCTAAGAAATTTTCGGAAAAGCATTTCGAAAATTTAAAAGAAACGTTAGATCGTTTTATTCCATATATTAGATTCCACGAAATTTCATCGAAGGATTTCTTCAATAAGGTTCGTCCGTTTCGAAAAATTCTATCGGAATCGCTTTTTGAAGACATTATGTCTTTCTTAATGGCTGGAACAAAACCAAAACAAAAAAAACCTCCGTCACGTATGGGATCTTTTATGGGAAATTCTAAAATTTTAACAAGAAAACATGCAGGCATTATTTCTAATTGGATTGAAAGAAAGGCTACGTCTAAACCAAATCGATACCGATTTACTCTACTTTATCGCGGAACTCGTGATGGATTTAATTTGACTTCGTTTCGTCAAAAAGTAAATGATCAAGGACCGGCAATCGCCATCGTCAAGATAAAGGGTTCAGAAACCATAATTGGCGGATTCAATGCTACTGGATGGAGTAATGATCTATACAATGATTATGAAGAGGTCTCTAGCGCTTATAACGATCATTTTATATTTTCGTTTAAGAGTCTCAATGATAAAACAGGAATAATTGGCCGATCTTGTGAATTTTATGGTGTAGGTGACGGAGAAAGTTATTTACTATACTTTGGACGTGGTGATTTGCTGCTTCGGGAAGACAAAATTGGATCATGTTACCAACATTCTTATGACAAAGAAATTTTGGACACGGATAGATTTATCGCCGAAGAGTTGGAAATATTCAAAATGGTCTAGTTTATTTTGCGGTAGGGTTAAAACCTTCAATTGCTGGCAGTGAAAAGTATTTGGGCAATTATCTTGAATGTGATAAGATGTTGAATATTGGTTCTTTCACAATAGATGATTGTATCTGCAAATGCGTAATGGATTCGTAGTAGAAGTTTTAGCATATATTGGCATACAGTTTTGTACGCAGCTGTTTTCTGTGCCAATTTTTGACTTTAATTTTAGATTATTGCATGCCCGTTTTTACTTCTATATTACCGTATCATCAAATATGTTATAATCTTTTTAATACGTAGTGGAACTTTTACCTGCAATTATAAAAAATTTCGTTCAGTTGACGAGACAGCTTAAAAGCTCTAGTCACAGTATTAGATCTTCATAAACCTTATTTTAGAGTACTCGAAATGCAAACTGGCAAAAAAAAAAACAAACAAAAAAAAATTGTATGTTAAGTTTCTTTTATTTTTTTTTATTTTTTTTTATTATGCACCAGTGTAATTGTTTGATTGGAAGTTGTATTTAAGAATGATGTTTATATTTATTGAAGACAATGCTATAACATATTGGTTAACAGTCACAACCAACTCTTATCAGAATTATTTCAGATAATGACATTTGCTGTAGCTTGTTCATAATTTACATTAAATATAGAGGTTAATCTATATATGTTGCTGAAATTTATAAATCTTTGATGCAATTGACGCAATTATTTGACACAATTATTTGATGCAATTAATTGAGTCACTATTAAAACATATAAATAATTGAGTCATGACACAATTATTTTTGAGGATTTTGGGAATTAAGTTAACAGCAAAATAATTTACATCACATGTATAGATTAATCTATTGAACAAAAAAATTTCTTTGTTTAATCAGTAGCATATATTTTCATTAGTAGTTAAGTTTTATTTCTATTGGGAAAGAATTAAGAAAAGATTGAAAAAGGGCAGTAGGAATAATATTAATGATAAATAAAGTTACATAATTCCTACTTGCTTTATTAGAAATAAATACGTTTATTACCACCTGCAGCCAGGCTAATTATTTAATTTTTTACTTATTCAAATAATAATCAAGAATGTTTAAAGTAGACTTATAACTGGTTCTTACTGCCTGAACAGTGACTTTATAACTTTGTACAGAATAGGTTTTATTGTCAAATATCTTTTTGGGATAAATATTATCAAATCAATTTATTACTGGATTGAGATAAAACTAAAGCAAAGATCTATATAAAAGACACAAGATATTAAGAAAATAATTATCAAACCTATTTATCGAAAGTAGATATCTTATATATCTTATAACTTTTGATAATTATTATAATATCAACTGGATGATTATCATGTCACAACACCTTTTTTGAAAATTACAATCTTAACATTCACAGAATCAGTATATGAAATGGCTTCTTATAAAAAACAATATTTTTACAAATTATAGTGTCAAATATTATATTAATTTTATTCAATTACTTTTATATGAAATTGAACTAATATCTTATAGTTTGATTTGTGGAGCACTAATCACTATATTATGGATCCACAGGTCTAATTATATTATATTACATTAATTAATTTTTAATTTTTATATTTTTAATATTAGTTTATGAAATATTATATTAAATAGTATTAATTAGTACCTTAGTCTAAATTTTGTTTAAATAAACTATAGTGATAAACTGCAAATAATAATTTTTATTGTCAAATTTTATAAGTAAATAAATATCAAAAAAAATAATTTTATTTATCCATAAAATTATATTAGTTAAAAATAGATGTTCAAAATAATAAAATAATTTATATAAAAATTTAATAAATTATATATATAAAATACAATAATAATAAATAATAAATATTAATAAATATATGACATATTAAGTATATTGCTTTTGTTATTCAAATATTAAAAATTAAAAATTAATTAATTAATAATATACATATTTTGATATTTTAGATTAATAGTATATATTTTATAATTATATGATTATTATAAGATATAAGACAGATAATTTTTGTTATAATAAAAAAACATCAATAAAAGTTTTTAAATTTTATATTCAATTATTGATTATATTTTTTTGATATTTTTGATTAATATTATTGAAATCCATATAAAATATATACAATTTTAATTTAATAGATTATTATTTTGTTTTAATGTAATAATAAAATATAAAATAGATATTATTTATAATATATAATTATAGAAAATAGATAACAAAAAATTGTTAATAAATTTTTTTAGATTTTATTTTAGTAAACAAACAAATTATTTTTTTTAAAAAAATGATTACTCAAAATTTTATATTTTATAAATTGAATTTTGAGTTGTTTTTCTTTTAACAAAAAAATATAATTGAATTATGATATGTGATATTATAATATATATTTTTTTAATTTATTAAAATTCTTGCGTAAGGTTTATTATCTATTTAATAGTATTACACGATGATTTAAAGTTATTTGAAAAAATGAACTCATCCTCTAAATTCTCAAGAAGAGAAAGTCATGAGAATTGATTATATAATGGATTATTAGATGAGTAAACCCAGGTCCAACACAAAATTCATTGTGGGTCCCCTTACTTTTTTTTTTTTTTCGGTGTATGCATGCGAGTCTATGCGGATCTATGCGAGTCCAATTGATTATATTAAAAAAAGAATTACCCCGCAGGCATGTTAATAAAGAATAAAATTTTGAATTAATGCATAATTTCAAAGATCAATGTGAAAAATTATTGACATAAAGAGAATTATATAAAAACAAGAATTTATCTTATTCAATACATGGTCTACTGCATATAATGGAACGCAATATGATGGAAAAACATTTGGACATAATGTGCTGGTACTGATCGCGTTTTGTAACCAACATTCTTTGTATGACGCAGATGGTAAAACGACGTCTGCAGTGACCAAAAAAAATAATAACAATTGGGAGAAAAAATTTTTTATTGATCTTAAATTGGAATCTGGAGTATTTATGATTTTTGGTTAAAAAATTTTTTTCGATTGCACGAATATCTCGGCGTTTAATCAGAATCCTAAAGAGGTTCAGATCATCGAGTTTATTGACGATGAAATTTTCATATAAATACGAGTTCAACTAGCCAAAGTTAACCACTATTCGTCGTCAGCTCAAGATGGTGTTGAATCATTTTCACGTAAAATTTCTCTTGTTCTTATTGCCATTCTTGTTGAAGGTTTATTCACAATGTGTTACGAATTATGACGCGAATGTAGATTACTTTACGACAAAAGTTAATGGTGATTATCATTTATGTCACATGATCCTTATGGTTACATTGTATTTATATTGTCTTTTTCTTGATAGCAACTGTCGCGAGTCTATTCCGCATAGAATACTACAAAAATTATAAACTTGTTTACAACCTTTATACCAACGAAACGTTTGCTCTTTATCAATGCGGAACTCCTATCCCAAGTAACTTACCGGCTGGCACAAAGAATTTCTCGATCCCCCTAAGTGCTATCGCCATACTTGATTCTAGCGAGATTCCTTTTCTTGAAGTAAGTTAGAAACTTTGGGTTCACGTAATGACGCGTAAAAATACTCAATCACGTACGCGAATAATAGGCTCTTGGGCTTAGATCTACGATTAAAGTTATAGATAGCTCATTTGCATCGGATATAGTCTCACCATGCCTACAGTCCGAGAAGAGTAAAATCAAGACCCTTGATAACAACCAAACCGCGACAGCACAGATTCTCTCTACCGTTAATGCCACGTTTGGTAATCTCGCTAATTCGTCCGCTTTAAAATTAATAAGCACCTCTCCCGTATCGGATCCTGGTACATTGAATCGTGCCGAATGGATAAAATTTTATTCGGTCTTTTTCAATCTCGAAGAGAAGGCTAATGCCACTTATAATAAAATTAGTGATAATTACAATTGCCTGAAAAAATTAGCAACTTCTCATGCTCCAACCACAAAACCTCTAGTTGCATGGACTCAATACGATGCCCCTGCTAGTTACAATAACAACACTGAATCTTGGATGATCGTGGACGCAAAATACAAAAGGATGCTTATTGAAGATGCTGGCGGTGCCTATTTTAATTCTTCAACTCTTATCTACTACAAAAACTCGGAATTCTTATCTGCTATTGCGAATGTCGATATTTTAATTGATGAAACTTATATCGCTATCAACATTTCCGATGTTTATGCAAATTATCACTTGACGGCGACCAGTGACTACAAATTTGTGAAGAATTCCGCAATTTACAGGGAAGATGGACTTCAAAATCCAGGCGGGGGGCGGGATTGGTTCGAGAGTGCGGTGTTAGAGGACGATGCCGTGTTGGGAGATATTGTTAATATAATAAATCCTGATTTACCAAAGAAAGGGTATCAAAGAGTGTGGTTTAGGAATGTCGCTAAGGGAGAAGTTCCTAAAATTTCTAGTTCAGACAATTGCACGGACGTTAATTCCACATTAACGGTATTTATTATTTCTTTTTTGTTATCTACATGGTTTTTAGATATTCTTACACTCTTATTTTTATTTTATTTTTTTAGTATCCTTCCGATTTTTGTTCAATTAATACCACCACCACCACGACCTCCGCCGGTATTCGCGCTTATAATTACTCACCAATGTTCAATGCGTGGTTTGTTATTGTGGTATTGGTCTGGTATCTTTGTTGAGATAAGCGGATGTAATTTAAGGATGGAAACGTGAATAGAAAATAACGTGCAAATTCGATTGTTTATTTAATCTGTTTTCCCTTATACAATCTTGTTTTAAAAATATTCGTTAATAATTTTATAATTTCAGACAATTTCTAATTTAAAAGATCCGTGACGTCAGTTCTTTTCGTTAATTTTTTTATTTACTATTTTGTTCAAAGGGAATAAGCAAATGAAATGCAATGCAATACAGGGTTAATTGATTAACTTAATGATCATTTATTTAATTTTTCAAGAGTCCAGTTTCTGGAAAAAAAATTCAAAGAATTATTTTATCTAAATGAAAAATAATATATATTAATCTGATTTGATTTGATTCAGAGTTCACAAAAAAAATCATTATTATTATTAATGTATCAATTTACACATGATTATAAGTGTGACGAAAATAGAAACAATTACATACGTTACCATTAGGTCATGGATGTATGACGTTTGTGAGGTGAAAACCCGGTGAAATTTCCTGTTGACGTTTGATTTAGAAATATTTGGTCTTTTGGCGCTTTTGCGATATCTAAAATATCTTATCATTATAAAATTCTAGTTCTTTTTAGTCGAAGATTAGCTATTTGTCACACATTAATCACGGATACCTATGACGTTAAGGTCAATAATGCAAACTTTCACGAAATTGGAAACGCCCCTGAATGAAAATCTATCAGTGTCACCTCAGTTGACCTCATTTCATCTCCAGAAGAATAAAATTAGCAAACATCCAATGCATACAATGTGTGGGTTAATTCATCTCATATGAGGTGTCTCATCCCATTTATACAATGCAAAGTTGATTTGTTGACAAAATGTCAGCAGCCACTTAAAAAAGATCATAGATCACTCACAGACCGTTTTTATTCCAAATTTCTTCGATGATACTTGACCGGGGCTTTCTCCAATTCGTCAACTTGAAACAGAAGCGTTTTAACATTGATCTATCTGAATTCAGAAAGTGGAGAGCTGATTGGTGGTTAAAAAAAAAATTTCCATTTTTTTTCATCAATTTGCACAACCAAACAGGTAGTACGTAATCCAAATCCAAGGCTTCTGCTTTTTATATTGTTGTGTTACCACCAGCATGCAGCATTTTAGTAATGTGATGATGTTATTATTTGTACCCAACCGGCATTTTTCGCATTTTCATACAAGGGAATCAAATCCCATTTCATATAATTATTCTTTTGATCTCTTTTTAGTGATTAATACAATCAGCCGTTTCTTCGTAAAACGAATCGGTTCTAGCAATTTTCTTTGGTGATATTTAAATTCGTTCACTCCTTAAACTCCTCAAAAAGGATACCATGGCGCCGTTCGTAACTTCCGGGGGCGCTCAAAGCATATTGGAATCATCAAAAGACAGTTCGTCGGATTATTTTTCCCGAAGTTGGTCCGAATGGACGTCAGTAATTCAGAGGCCTCAGCTACCGAAACCTCCAGCTGACACTGTAAAATTGTTGAAACCGCTAAAGCTTCAGCAGTATATTGTCAACAATCACGGTTGGTGGCCTGTATTCGGTGGGGAACCAAAATTAAAAAGAAAACGTGGAAACCCAACTTCACCCGTCGTTCCTCAGAAACAAACTCCCTTGAGCTTGGTGCCTCTTGAATTCTCGAAGCGACGAAAGATTCACAACTGCTCTCATTTTTCATCACAATTTTCTTGTAAAAATTATCTTGCCGTCGAGTGGGATCCTGAAGAAAATGAATTTCGCACCGCCTTCCCACCGAGAACTACCACCTCAGCGTTGCCACAGGAAAACTTTGCCGCCGTCACAAGTAGAGTATTGTTGGTTCGGAGGTTGAAGGCTAAACAAGGAAACACGCTTAAAGGAGATGCGGCTTCTAGATTTCGTAAAAATGTTTTGGTGAAAGTAGCAGGTATTTTGAAACTCGCATGGTTTAATAATAGATTTGATTAAAAAAAAAAAAAACAATAATAATAATAATTCTATTATTAAATTAATATTATTAACAATAAGACAAAAATACGGCGGGCGGAGTCACCGTGAGTGATATAAATTCCGCAATTGAAAGTCCGTCAAATGAATCGGACGTGGTGATCAAGCGACCTTGGAGAGACGGAACAACTGAACCGGTAGAAGGAACGTTCGAAGAACTGAAAAGTTTGAGGAACAAACGCGCATGCGAATCAAATTCATCACCTTATACACCACCTTATTGCTGATATTCGACTGAAAAGATGAGAGTCCTGTTGAGATCTTTAATAGTTTCTTTTTGTATATATTTTATTGGAGTGTTTTAAGCACAAGTGTCATGCGTTGTGAAGGGCAATGACAGTCGCCTTACTAAGCCCACGCTCTGCTTCACTTATTCGATATTCAAACTTGGCTATCAGAAAGTTATCATGCTTACGAGGATAACCCATAAATCCCATAATTTCAACATGCCAATTTCTTTTGGAATCCCTGATCCACAAATATGATCGGGAAAGTGGTGATCCATTCGCCTCGCCTTGCTTGAACATCACCTTCGCATCGCCTTTCACTGCAAATGGGACTTTCTGCTCCATTCCGATGGCTCAATACGCCAATCCAGAACGCCACAGAAGCACCGTCGTCGTTCTATATCACTTGAGAAGGCTTCAAAGCCTTCAAAATCAACGGGTGCCTACCCGTTTGGATCTTCATAAAAGATTGATTTTTCTCTCACTCCGGCATTTTAACTTTTTTCCCTTTAGACGCAAACACTTAGAATTCAATCTTACATATTTATCCTTTTTTTTTTTTTTTTTAATTTTTGGTAATAGTCGTTAGACACCCACACTAATTTTAATGTTGGAATTTCTAAAATCCACCGGATATTATTGATCAGTTGTTTGTTAATCATCTTTCATTTTGATTCCTTCAACGATGTACATAGGTTTCTTTAGAAAAAAAAATCAAAAAGAGTAAGTGGATCAGGTTAATCGTATCATTGATCCTTCCACTCACTCAAAAACTTTAATAAACAAGTTTGTATTGTAAATAGCTTTATTTCTTGAATAAAATTTCTAAAAGAATTGCAGTACAAATGTCATTGTTATGTCACGTGTTAATTCGGTTTATCACGCACGTATGTGTCATTGGCGAACGCAGATCGCATGTGGGGGTGATTAAAGGATGTTCCTCAGGTTTCCCATCTCCTTCGCGCGCAATTCCGATTTCTGTCGGCCACTGACTGTTGCAAAATTTCACGCAATGGCTTCTAGGGTATGCCGAAATGTTGATTCTTTCTTTTTCCGAAAAAATGTTCCCGTATAGAGTCGTAAAACCATTTTTACCTTTTGGTACACGTTTAAAGGCCAACTCCGCAAAGATACTTCCACACATTGATCCTGAAAATTTAAATTATATCATTTATCATAAGGATTGCTGTAAGAACTTTCACATTATTATATGATTGGTTATCCTTTATGTCTGTGTAGACTCTCATTACATCAAAAAAAAACCTAAGCCGATGGATTTGGCGCAGCCTATTCAGCATGGAAACGTCTTGGAAATAACGCGAAATACTTTCCTGCAGTGCATAGCACACCACCACCGAATGATATCAAAGATAAAAACGTAGGAATGTTCGATTTTGCCTATCCAAGAACAGTCCTCACAGAACTTGAAAACCAGGTAAAATCGTTGGCAATAGTGGATCACCATGTGTCTGCCAGGGAGGATTTATTAGGCGATCGTTCGGCCCACAGCGAAAATATCAAGAATTATTTCTTTGATATGAATAAGAGTGGTGCTAGACTGGCCTGGGAATTCTTTTGGCCTGATAAAGAAGTTCCATTGTTGCTTCGGTACATCGAAGACAGGGTGAGTTCGAGTGAACACGGTTTAGCGATCTCTGTCGTATGATCGATGAACGTAAATCTATTTTACCCGAATAGGATCTGTGGAGATTTTCTTTGCCGAGATCTCGAGAATTCTCTGCTTTTTGGACAAGCGTTCCCCATGAGTTTGAAACATATGATCGATATGCGCAAGACGAGGTACGCGATGATGATTCAAACTCGTTTCATTGATCTCGTTTATACCAGCAAATATTTAAACCGTTTTATTTATCCATAGAGTTTAATTGAAAAAGCGATAGAAGCCGGTTCTCACATCCTCAATTACATGAATTCTCGTGTCTCATCATTGGAGGTGAACGCATTTAAACGTAAAATAACTTTAACTACGGTCGACTCCAACAATCAATCTCACACGAAGACATATAATGTGATGGTCATTAATTCTATATTATGGCAATCAGAATTGGGGCACGCTCTTGCGAAGAAACAAGACGCCGATTTTAGTATGATTTATTCTTACGATGGAAGATTGAAGAGATATAGTGTAGGTTTGAGAAGTCTAGATGAAAAAGCAGACGTGTCCTTAATCGCAAAAGCGCTGGGAGGTGGAGGACACCGAAATGCTGCTGGTTTTGTTTGGAAACGTGAAACAATTGAAAGTCTTTTCGATCCTGAATGAAGCGAACATAAGTTAATTGTAACCTTAATATATTCCTACGATATAATGAAATAAACTGTGAGTTGAATTGAAATCATACTTCACGGCATCGCAAAACCTTTCATTATGTTTTTGGCTTCATCGATTGTTGTTTCAACGATTTCCTGTGATTAATTGGTGAGAGGTATTAAATTAAATGATTATTCGTACGTGAATCAAATATCAACCCATCATTACCTTGGCCGACAAGATTTCTTTTATAAGGCCAACGCCTGTTCCAGCATAAATCACCTATAAGAAAAAAAATTTTTTAACTATTATGTGGTTGTTGGTTCAATGCGCATTGGATACAATACCGCACGAGAATAATCGCCATTCTTCATAGCCTCTGAATAGATTCTTCTTCTCTCCGCGATTTTCTCTTCATCACCAGGATCAACATCACCTTCTTCTAAAGTTTTGTTCCTCAATGCTCTCCCGTCAAACTGTGAGGGCCACAAATTTGGTTGTTTCATTTTGTCAAAAACACTGGTTCTCACAGTGCTCACTCCACCATCATGCGCATTTACAAACATCTCCTTTGCAATTGGCTTCGAAAGACTTTCTTTAGATGCCGCAAATCGAGTTCCCATCACCACACCGGAAGAACCAAACGCAAGCATAGCAACCAAACCGCGTCCATCCATAATCCCGCCGGCAGCTAGTACTGGTATGTGACCATTCTTATGATCCTTGAGAGCGTCAATTGCTTCGGGCACCAAGGTCACCACGCTGGCATTATTAACTAACCCGTGACCGCCTGAGTCATTTCCTTGCATCACTATCACATCTACCCCTAGGTTTGCTGAGGCGATTGCTGTTTCGACCGTACCAACTTGGGAAAATATTTTGGTTTTCGGAGACATTTCGCGAACGATGGGTATATACTCATGAAAGTCGCCAAATGAAAACCAGACTGCCGCTGGTTTATGGGAAAGAATGGTCTCAAGAGGTGGTGGTATGCATTTTTCGTTTCCCCCAGCTTTTGAGGATTGTGAATGGAGAACGAAATTCTTAAATCCTACACCAATTGGAAGAATTTCCGAGGAATTGTTCAATAATTGTTTTGCCTTCGCGAGATCCCGATCTAACTTATCAGCCGTCTCACTTCCTGTTGATACGATTTTACAGGTCACCTAACTTGATGGTTTAAGAAATAGATAAGAGAAGCACAACAAATGTAAAGCTACCAGCCGGAATAAATCCTAGTCCTCCGGCCAAAGTAACCTGTGTAGCTAATTCCACACTTGTTACAAAATCCATTGGTCCGGATACGATCGGATATCTGACCCCAACATCTTTCAATAATTCGGTGAACTTTGTGCGAAGGAATGACATCTTTTTTACAAACAATGAAGTCTTATTATTCACGCACGTTATCTGATCTTTGTGGTGATACAACAAGTTCATCCATTTAATCACATGATCAATAAAATTTGATACAACCAACTTGTAATGTCAACATATGTCAACATATCATGAGAAGCAAAGAATCAAGTTTCAATTTCAAATTATGAAGCGATTTAATCGCCAAAAACTCCACTACCTCACTTGTTTGCAAGGCAACTCGCACTCAGATTAGTGGTCATCAAGGCATACATAAATAAAATAAAAATGGCGGATTAACCGCGAAATTACATTTGGCCCAAAAATAGAAAAAAAAAAAAAAAGAGTACAGTAAGAGTAGAAAACCAATGAACCCATATGACTCACTTTGCAAGATTCCCAAATAAAGGTAGATCAATCCTTAATACAATGAATCCTAATATAGGATAACAATTGAGAAAAGCAAACAAAAGCTAACATGCTTCTTACGAGAATCACATTCCCTCGAACCGAAAATGATCCTGTTAGTTGAACGCAACGACTAATCCCAAGTCAACCGGCTATCTGACCTGCACTACATTTCCATCTTGATCATATATGTGAATATTAAGATGAGGACAGTATTCATCCTTCACGCGATCGAAAAATTTTGACTTATTTTCCAACACCTCGCAACACATTATATTGACATCCAGCAATTGATCCCAATGAACATTTCTAACATCCGCGCCACTAACAGCGGGAAAAAATGACAAATGCATGTAATTTAGATTTGGCGTAGTTCTAGCTACCACATCTAAAAAGTGTCCATCGTTTTCAAACTCCCTTCCCTCCAAAGCCAACACCTTCAGGTTTGGAGTGTGTCTAATAAGATCACAGAATAACTTTTGATCCTTCTCTCTCAAGGGCATCCACAATTCTTCCAACTGTTCGCCGCAATTTTCGGAAAGATATTGAAGAGATTTGGTGTAGGTCTTCTCCCAGTTGGGGTCAACGTTATGAGGTGGTTCGATCTGTAATTTCTTCAGATATTTCCAAGACTTTAACAGTATGTAAAAATCACCAGGAGAATCACCCCAACTACAACAGTGAACCAAAGCACGTTCAACTCTTTTGCAATCACGAAGGGCTCCAATTGTCTCCTGGTTCGCAACGTGCATCATCAAGTCGATCTCTCGGACAGTGTCTGTCACCATGGATATGACGTCACTGACCGACGGGAGGTAAAGGTTGTCATCTTTGTTCTTATCTTTATTTGGCCCTCGTAAACCAGAGGTATGAATTTTAACGAACCGGACAGATCTGCACGATTGAGCTATTGCCGAGAAGAAACTGTCCATTACCGGTGGAAGATCCTCAGCGATATGATCGGATGTAGCAGAAGTAAATCTTACTACGATAGTATGCATACTGGGGACAGTTTCTGAGAAAGTCACGATGCCTTCCAATTTTTCGGCCAAAGAAATAGCGGTTTCATTGTGTTTGGGGTCATAATCGTACTCAATATGAATTTGCCTCACATATCTACCATAACCTCCATCCATGAGCAATTGAAACAATTTCTCCCAATCACGTTCTACGTCAAGTTGAAACTTCACTTTCTGCCAGATCCTCGATATTGCTATTTGCCTCCATACTCTGCATACCATCGAAACCATAAAAAGATCCGACCTTTCTGAAGAGAAATGGTCGTCGATCGCATTAGGTATTTCGGGTTCACATACTGACTCGTCTAGAAATAATATGCCTCCTCGAAGATGCTCAAATATTTCGGTGATGAGTTCAGGCGGTAATTTATGATTCGGTCGTACAGTTGATTGTGGTTCTGACTTTTTTTTGCGAAGTCGTGTTCGTGGCATTTGCAGTTACAAGGAACTTTGATTAATGCCTTTATACTTCGTTTAAGAGTTACCTATAAGCAAAAAAGTTGAAACAACGTTCCACTCAATCCTTTTTCAGTGAGTGATTAGAGACTACCGGTCATAACACCCAAAGTCCCCATAAATGGTAATAAATAATTCTAATGTGTTAATAGCTAAAAATAGTATTAATCTAAAACGCTAATCGTAATGTATTGTCGGTATTTAAACTGCGCATCGTGATGATCGCCCAATCAGACTCTCCTCCATTACGTATAAGAGAATTTTGACTTCACTCCCTGAAAGAACGATGTCCGCCGAAGAACAATCGAAAAGACCGATTATCGCGAAACCCCATAGTCAAAGAGAAAACAAACCTGACGAATATGATGAGATGATTGCTAAAACTGGATGTTACGAAGAAAATCAAGAATTGCAGTTATGCTTCGCGGATAAACGAGATTGGAGATTGTGTAAAACTGAGATGGCGAAATTCAAAGAATGTTGGAAGAAAAACCAAAGCGATCAAATCAAAGAACAATGAAAGCCTAAAATTGGAACGATGGTTGGATGGGATTCCATGTAGGTATTCAATTGCATTTATGTTTTACCACCTTACGACACCACTGAATTCGTACAAAGTTGAGGCGATGAGCCGAAAGAAGCTAACTCTAAAAGGAATTGTGGTACGAAGAAACGTAACCATCGTAGAGAACGATTGATCCCGGCTACATGATACTGTAATTATTATTCTTAAACCAATATGTTGGATTTGGATTTTGGAAACAATAAACAACACGATAATTTCGGTTTCAAAGTTAATCTTACGCATCCAACTATTTGTGCCGGTATTTTACTACATAATTTCTTTAGTCAATTAAATTATGTGGTTAAAGAGGAAGAAGGTGATGATGTTACAGTGTCCGATTTATTACCTTTAATTCCAATGAGAAAATAACTTTTTCTTTCAACATCAACGAAGTTAGTGATAGATGAGTTGCACTATTTATTAATCTTATTATTGGAAACTAAAAAATAAGAAAATTTAAAAAAATTAAAGATATAAAAAAAATAAAGATATAAAATTCTTGTATTGACAGACTTTAATTTGCTTTTTAATAATAACAAAATATATTATTTTTCTTATATTAATTATAGTATATTGCTGCTTAACAATTTGATAATAATTAATACTGTAAAATTATTTTTTTTATATAATAAATAGTATATAAGATTGTTAAAATATTTATATTAATGAATTTATAAAAATATATTAATAAGAAATATTAAGTTAATTATAATAATTAAATTTAAATTATTAAAAAAATTAGAAATTAAATAAAATAAGATAAAAGTAAAATTGAAATAAAATTTAAAAAAATTTATTGTTTAGAAAAATAAATTGGCTATTTTTGTATATAGTTTAAAAATATATAATCATTTTTTACTTGTATATTAAAATGTTTATTTAAAATAAAATCTTTAAATTCAAAGATTATATAAATTAATTTATTTTAAGAACTTTAATTTAAGTAACTGTCTTTTTTAACTTATTTTATTAATTAAATGTTAAAATAAAAATTATTTAATATAAATAAACTTGTAGATCTATAGTATAATAGTTAGTATATTATAAATTCAATTATAAAATAATAGTTTAATCCTAAATAATGGTAATTGAATAGAATTAATATAATATTTGATATTATAACTTGTTAAATATTGTTTTTTATAAGAAACCAATTCATATATTAATTTAGTAAATATTAAAATTGTGATTTTCAAAAAAAATATCATAATATAATGATTATCTAATTAATGTTATTTTTATTTTTTATTTTTATAGTGGAACGTGCGCAAGGTGTATGATCTTTTATTGATACATTTATATACTCAGACAGACATCAAGTGTCTCTACAAATTAATTGGAAATCGGTTGGTATATAAATACCCATTATGTCTCTACAAATTAATCTGTAGATTAACACTGCCTAGCACCTATATTACTATAAGACTAGCTATGCCAACCACTATTACCCAACTTATGCATTTATTTAAACACCACGTAGATGTGCCCACACGTCAGGTGGAACTTCTGTAGAGGAAAGAATCCTATCACTAGTTTAAACCCACCTAAATCTGCTGGTTCATTATTGCAGAGAGCAAGTTATTATGAAATATTATTATAGAGATTAACTTCAGTATTCCAGTCACTGTTATCACCGATCCTCAAGATGTGCCACTAGCATAACACAGCACTACCATTTTCACCACCTGTGGAACTGGTGTCCATCTAATTAATGTTATAATAATTATCAGAAGTTGTAAAATATATAAAATATTTTGATAATTATTTTTTTGTAATATTTAATATCTTTTTCTATAAATTATTAAAAGATTCTTATTTTAATTTAGTAATAGATTACTTTAACAATTACTTATTTTTAAAAAACAGTTAAAATAGTAATAAATATCAATAGCTGAAATATATAAATAGTAAGTCTATAAAATAAATTCCTTGAATATTTTTGGATAGCTTAAAAAAAAATAAAAATTAAATAATATATTTATTTGCAAATAGTCAGATTTATACATGTAATTAAATTGAATTCAAATATTTTTTAAAAATTATATTACTTTTAAAAACATAATAAATTAATTAAAATCATATTTAATTAAAAATTGTATTATCATATATAACAAAAATTAATAATATAATTATATATATAGTCAGATTTAAAAGATTTTCTTTGCAGAGATTTATTTATCAAATAAATATTATTTCTAGTTTTCTTATTCAACTTTTTCTTAATATATCTCTAGTTAGAAATAAAACTTAATACTGTATATAATAATAATAATAATAGTATTGTAGTTATAAAAGTTATATGAAATTATAAATGATTTTAATTAGACTATAAACTTAGAGAAAAATATTTATTGAACTTAAACAAAAAGTTAAATTTATTCAGATTAAAAGTATATCTTTTTTATATATTTTGAATTAATATAAAAAATATATATAAAAGAAAAAAATAACTCTTTTCACTGATCCTTTTGCCAACCCAAAAAACAGACGTTCTCAAAAAACCTTTTGTTTTTATGATAATAAAGTCTATACACTTT